GTGAAAAGAACATAATTATATTTCAAATTCTGACATTAGGATAACACAATATTCACATATTTTACAAGAAATGTGTCCAGAACAACAAAGAACTGGAAACCTCGTGAGTCAATAAAACCTCTGTATTTCAATGTGATGTTCAGCCTGCAAGTTCTTTGGTAGAATAACAGATATTCATGTGTTTGGCAAGAAGTAATGTCCAAAACAGTTAAGAGATTTTTCCATAAAAGCTTGCTCTACTTTCAGTGATACTATGTAAAACTTTAAAAAAACCTTATGTGAATGTCTCAGAAGAAAAGATAGCTAAGGCAAAATGACATTAATGACTTCCTTGATTGAAGTTGTATGTTAATACTTTATATAATGGAATAACTGAAAAATTCAAAACAATGGGCATAAAGCACATGGTATTTATGCATATCACATTAAGCAGGCTATATTAAATGAAACCCTGATTTTATATTTGTTTGAAAGGTTAGTCTACACTTACAATTATTTCATAGTTTGACTCTCTTTAATGCTCTCACTACGGACTCGGTCGAATTAGAAACGTTCATGATCCCAAATTGACCATCATAGTTTCCATACTATAATGTCTAATATGTTTTGCAAGCTTTCTGTAAGCATTAAGTCTTTTGTAGACAAAAAAAAATCTGAATTTTTAATGAAGTATTTTCACTAGATGTTTCTCTATGAATATATGGAGTCAACTTTTTGATTACTCTGAGTGCAAAGTGATTTTTATGTTAAGATTAAAAATACTTTTGTTCATCTGAAAGTTCTCAAATTTCACTTTCCTAATTTTCAAATGGCAATAAAACTAAAATAGATGTATAGTGTTATGAGTTTAAAGTTATTTAGGATAAACAAATGTAGTTTTATGTTACAGTTTGAAGTCACTTTAGAAAGAAAAGGGTAATTTAGATTTATTTCAAATTTCATTATGGTAGTAACGAGGTTGGTCAATTTCACCAACCTCATATAGAGTTAGGGTAGAAAAAATAACATAAGATATTTAGTTTTACTTGGGGAAAAAAAAAACATTTGAACTTTATTTAAGAAGTTTTTTTAGCAACCCCAAGCAATGGAACCTTTCCATACAGGGATTCTTTTCTATGTGTGTCACTAGATTTTTCTAAATGATATTCCAAATGTAATTAAAGTACTTTATTATCATGGTATACAAATCAAGGTATCAAAACATAGATAATAATCCAGATATTAATATTATAGTTTTATGTTCTTGATTTTGTAAGGGAATATTTAAAAAAAAACTCAATTTCCTCTCTAGGTGGTCCCCTCTTCTCTAATTTATTTACCATCCCTCTAAGAAGTACAAAATTTGATATAAATTACTCATTATAATAATGTTATTACTCAAGTAAAGCTTAATTTTAATAGCCTTCAAACTTATTTTGTTACAAAGCCATAAAATAGAAAATCATTCCCCTCTTACCACACCCATCTGTTACATACTGTCTTTCACAAACTGCCAATAGTTCTCTGACATTTAATACTATATTATTTATAATCAATAGAAAGCCAAAGTTTTAATCTATCAAATGACATATTATATTACATTGTTTTCCGTAAAGAGAGTTGTCTGTTTTCCTTCCAGTTCAAACTTTATTCTCACAGGAAACATTTTGACAAGTTTAGCTGAATTTATAATGGATCTTGTTGTGTAGTTAGAAAGCCAGAAAAACTGATAGTCATAAGACATTGTCTGCTTTTCATGTGTTATTATTCTGTGTTTTTGATGCATTATATAATTAAATGAAACGTTATTTGGTGAAGTAGTATCATTAGTATAAACAAATAGGGTTAAGTTTCATCAACAGTCAACAGCAAAAAAAAAAGACCCAGGTAAGTTCTATGTTTCATGTTTTTCATGTGTATTCTTTTATCATTATTATAAAAGTAATTAAAATATAAAAATTAAACCTTCTAATTTAGATAAGGTAAAATAAAAAAACAAATAAATGTTCATGCGGTATGCCCCAAGCAACTTGCGACTAGCTCGTGTGTTATGTAATTTGATAGGGTAATGAGAGCTACACATTTGACAAGTGATTTACATCTTGTGTGGTGGGATTATTAGCTAGAGACTTGGAATTTTAGGACTACGGCCCTAAATCCCATGTTGGTGGCTAGAGCATTCGGATGACAATATATATATATATATATCTATATACTTGTGATTGGATTCCAACCTGTAGCTATAAAGCAATGCATTCCAAGCCACTGGAATCATGACAAGAAATTAAGCAATACCAAAGCAGACAAAACTCTCTTCAACCTAAAGAATTCTGAAAGGCAACACCCCAAATTCAGAATGACGGGATCCTGTATGTCATACTAAACTTGAGGAAACAGAACTCATTCAGTCTGGAATAGTGAGCACTCACCCTCTCTCTCCAACTGTGTGGGCAAGGTAAATTCCATTTGTCACTGGAATTATGGGAAGGACGTGGAACAAAATGTGTTCAACTAAGGGCCCAGGATGGGACCACTCTGCAATCAGAATTACAAAGAGACAATGAACCCTCTTCCATGAACAATGTACTGAAGCAATACTGAACAAAAAGAAGGGCCATGTTAAATACAACAAGATAGCCACGCTTCAACTCTGAACTCGCATTACGAGTAAGCTCCTGTATAGGCTAGCATATCTCCTACCAACATTTTGGAAAAAACATCCAGGGTTCCAGGTAGGAGGGCCCCCAACTTTGCCCTCTTCTCCAAGAGTGAAGGAAATTCACTTGAACACTCCACAGAAATAACCTCTGTCTACCACCCCAGTGACTGGAAACCAGATATGATAAGGACTTCCTAGCTCTAATTGTAGAATATGGGAGGAGAGGAGAGGTAATATTCATTGGAGAGTCGTAGAAACAGTCCAATAGGTGAAGCAAGTTCCCTAAATGTTTGAACTCAAATCGACTCCGATTTATTCAATCCAATGATCGGCAGGGATGGGAAGAATCCCCATATGCTATACTCATGATAGTCCATGAGTGGCAGTCCGGCACAGTACAGTAATACCACTCTGTTTGCCTCTAAGTAGTCTTATGTAACACTTCATTCCTGCAGAACCTGTTGCAACCTAGATAAAATATACTGTGTTAATGGTTGCTAGTACAGATTTGGTTTGAGAAAAGCACAACAGCCTGGGCAACACTTGACACAGAGTGAGATCCTTTGAAAAAGAGGTAAGGGACCATGGAAAGTAAAGAAGAGACAAGATTAGTAATGAAGATACTCACCTCTTTTTATAATCTAGCAGATGTGGTTAAGGATCGACTACAGAGGGTATTCAAAAATCCTCAGAGGAAGATACTGTCAGATCATGCAATTAATGTGAGATAGAAGTATTGGAGGAGGTCCACATACCAGCCCGTAATTCAACCAGGCCACCAAGAACATAGAAATGTGACAAAACCGATGAGACATGACTCACAAAAGTCACCTTGTCTCCAAAGAGAGCCCAGAATAAGCCATATGGATCAATTTTCATATCAACCTCATGAAGGTAATGGTATAATTCTAGGAAACTGAAGGTGTGGATGCGGGCAACATAACACTTCAAGGCCTTCACTGGACATAACAAATGATGGAGATTCTATCAGTTATAGAGAGGAGAGTAAGTGGTGAGATGAATTGGTGGAAGGGATTCATCCCCTTCCCTGGCTGCCAGTGTCTTAGGTAAGAATGACCTGTCTGGGTATAGGAGGATAAGGCATCCTGTGCACATGCAGTGCAAACAAGTCCAATAGATGATGTCTGCAAGCCAGCAGTAACAAAATATAAACCTTAAGGAAAAGGTGATACATGGTACATGAAGCTTAGGGCTCAAACAGATGTTGAGAAAGAGCATGTAATACTATCCTAATATCCCAGTTATGTAACTGAAATGGTTTTTTTGGGATGAAGGACCCAAAATGATTTGAAGATATGTGTGCCATTTCTGTTGATAAATATCCTTTGTTGGACTATGCAGAGACTGAGACAAATACATGGCAATCTTAGAAGTTAAACCCCAATGTCATGCAAAGGACTGCATAACCTGCCATTTCTGTTGATAAATATCCTTTGTTGGACTATGCAGAGACTGAGACAAATACATGGCAATCTTAGAAGTTAAACCCCAATGCCATGCAAAGGACTGCATAACCTCCATGCATGAAGTTTTGAGCTATGGGATGGCTGGGTGTACGATGTTGGATTGTGGCTGCCTCAACAGAGATGGCCAAAGAGGAAGAGGTGAGCACTCCTGAAGGTACTGCAGACACGGAAACCAGGGTTGAGCTGGGCAATCTGGTGCTACCAAAAGAACTTGACAAGGGGTTGAACGAATCATAGCTAGGACTCTGGGTAACAGATGAATCAGTGGGAAAGCATAGAGATGCAATCCCATCCAATCCTGACTGAATGCATCTATTGCCAATGCCTGAGGGTGAGGTACAAGAGACCCAAATGCTGATAGTTAAGTGATACAATGAGTGGCAAACATATCAATCATCAGTGTCTCAAACTGAAAGCAAATCCAACGAAGACCTCGCAATGGACCATGACCTCTTGATGGGAAAGGTAAGACATCTTTCTGGAATTGTCGGAGTGAAGCATGATAATTTTTCCCCTCAATATCTCCAGACCTTGAGACATCGCTCTTTGAACAGCAAGAAGTTCTAACACATCGATGTGTAGGGAAGCTTGTTATACATCCATAGGCCCTGGAATTCCTGACTGTTGAGACATGCACCCCATTCCTGAAGCAAAGCATCTATGAAGAGACGGATCTCTGAACAAGGTGGCAGCTAAGCAAAATCTATCATAGTATTATTCTGATATAACCACCACTTAAGATTGAAGATGTTGATCCAGAATAAGGAGACTGGCGAATCCACTGGATCACTGTTCATGATCCATTAGTGATGTACACATCCCCAAAAGAGAAAGAACCATCTGCGCAGTGGGTGAAGAAGACAAGAGTAAGAGTTGGAGTGCCTGTTCCACAGCATAGAGCCAAATAGGAGTTGGTGGAGCCTGTCTGAGATGCATATTGAAAAAGACACTCAGATGGACAATATATTGTGTTAGAGTGAGAATAGATTTTTTGGCTCTGATAATAAAGCCTGCCTTAGTTGCTTCTGAAAGTAGAATTTGGGTGTGTTGTTCCGCCAACTGCTGGGAGGTGCCAGTAGTAACCAGTCATCCATGTTATGGTGTGTGCACAGGCGTAGGTAATGGAAGTGAGGAGAAAAGGCTCAAACAATTCAGCAGAACACATATGGTGCCAATGCTAGTCCAAATGGCAGAGCTGAACTGCAGCACCTGCCCCTTTTCTACAAAATGCAGAAAGCGGCAGTAGGACTCCGCTATAAGAATGAGCAGATAGCATCGGTGACATTGAACTTGGTCATCCACAGTCCTGGCAAAAAATGCCAATGCAGAGTGAGGAATTATTCCATTGTGAAACTTGGAGGATCTAAAAATTGATTGAGAAGAGAAAGATTAAGGACCGGATACCAATCTCCCGTCTTCTTGTGCACAACAAACAGATGGGAACAAAACTCTGGAAGAACTGGGAAGACTCTCTCCACTGCTCCCTTGATCAACAAGTCTCTGACAGCCCTGGAATGAAGTTCTGAAATCTGAGGATTTGTAGGAGGTGAAAACACTACAGGTTGGGGGGATAATGGTGGTGATGTGAGCTGAATGAATAATCCTGATGCAAGGACATGTAGTACCTATGCATCCATGGTAAAGGTTTTCTACACATCCATTAATTCTCAGAGCTGAGCCCCCATAATCCCCAAAGGAACATGGGAGTCATCTCCATTATTGGTGGCATTCCAACTGAGTGAAGGAACCTTGTGGATATGGGTGGAATCTGTTCTGGGTACCAACGGACAAATGTTGGAGGTCATAACTCTCAAATAGGGGCATAACTATGACCCCCTGTAGGAGCCAAGGAAATTCGGAAAACCAAGGATGACAGAGATGAATGAAGATGGGCGACATCAACCCTTGATTCCAAAAACTCTGGAATGCCCACAAAAATCAAGGGGTGGAGAAAGGGGGCTTCACGTAACTCACGGAAAGCAGCAGTCAGCAGACGAATACCCTCCAATAATGCATCTGTACCCAACAACATACCATCCAAGAGACTAGGGAAAATGCTGAAGCTGACAATCGAACCATGTTAGATGCCAACAATGGTCCCAACTCATCATCGAATTGATATGACATTCTCTGAGAAGCTTCTGACAAAAGTTAGAGGGATGATAAATATCTCAGAACCATAGTTAGGGTCAGAAAAAGAAAAACAGGCTCTGGATCTAGACCTAACAAGAGAAAGGGGACAGCTGTAGGAGCAGGAGGAGATTGGGAGAATGGTGAAGATGAAGTTGTATGGATAATAGTTGAAGGAGGAGGGACTGACGTGAACTTTTAATATTATGAGCCATGACAAAACATGAACTTAGATTTGGAGGAAAGCCATTCCCCACTGGATTTTTGTCAAAGCTTTTTTATTAAACTTGCCAACAGGACAAAAGTCCAACTGTACCTGACTGGCTGCTGGATGTACATAATGACAAATCATAATGCCAACCAAGCAAAGGTTCAAAGTCATGTTGATATGGAGACCATTCTTATATTGTTGTACACAGTAATAGATGTGTTTTCCTACAAAATTAAAATTATTATTTTTAAACATTTTTTCAATTTACTGCTGCAATTTTGCCTAAAAAAGAACTTGAAATGTGTCAGTAAAACCTTTCTATTTTGAAGTGATATTTTGGTAGGATAATAAATACTCATGTGTTAGTGCCAAAAATAATATCTACAACAACTGGCAGATTTATCAATAAAAGAACTCAATGATAAAGGAACTGGAAGAGTGAGACATTAATAATAAATTTAGGGAATGAATAACAATAATATATGTGTGTGGAGGGAGAACATAAATATAATCAACGTTAAATAAAAATTACAATATATATAAAAATATCTTTAAGTAATAAGAGTTAAAACAGTATCAATGCAGCCCAATATTTGTTAGCAATAACTTTTAACATTTCACTAGAAATTATTTTGTGATATTTGCACTATCACGAAAGAAATATTTATATTTTACTATATTAAGTATTTAAAACTTTATTATATTAACTATGCTGTTCATAATAACAGATTAATATAAATTGGTTTATTCTAACACCCATAACTCAAAAACTAATCATCAGATTTAGAAGATGAAGAGTGATTCCAGTGCCAAAAAATAATAAACAACAGAGGTGACTGATCACCAAGTTTGAATGGTCAACATACTAACAAAAACTTTTGTACTTTTAGACTAGCCCCAAAGGATATTTGCTGCAAAACTTCAAGCCCCATTTTCCTGCATTTTATTTTGCTTGAAACAAGGAACATTTTTATCCTCATTAACTATCTCTGCCTATGTTAGTGTATATAACCTTACTTCGGTTTCCAGCTGCACTTGTTTGTCGGTCATTGACTGGTTATCTGCTTCAACTCTTTCATTGATGAATTTCAGATTTTCAAGGTCTCGAAGCCGGTACCTGAGACTAAAATATGTGCAAAAAAATCACACATAAATTAATTTTATGCTTGAAAATATCTTAAATCAACATATGTTTGGCTAATACTAAATGTGAAGTTTTTATACCCATCTGTAAATGTTCTATGCATGTTCTGATAATGCTGATAACGAAGTCAGAATTATTCCCCCACTTCAAAAATTCCACAAAATATATTTTCATTGATCTGTATTAGATAATAATATCATGATTACAAAAGTGCAGTATTTTGTTTAAAAAATAGCAAAACAATGGATAAGAACAAAAACAAAAGTTTTTTTTTCATGTTTTTAACGTTTCACTGATATGCCTGAGTAAGTGATATCAAAGAGAGAAAAAAGCACATAAAGTAGGAAATATAAATCATCAAATGAATACATTGCAGCCTTAAGTTCAAGTTAAACTGAAATGCATCAATTACAAAATAATTAAGAGATAACTGAAGTTTTCTGTATTTTAACTATGACAGGATACAATTACTATCATTAAATAATGTTAGTTAATTTTTAAAACAAGGCCAAGTGAGCAGTCATGGGATCTGATATTCAAATATATTCTATGGAATCCATGCCTATAGATGCTCATTTGGTATTACAGAATATGAAACCTAACAAATGATAAAAAAAATGCTATTACCTTTGTCATTATGAAGTTGGTTGATTCAACCCATCTTGGAACTACATTGTAGCCATGAAACTATTCCTACTATAACTCTACGTACTAGGTGTACATTCACAAAATTTGGCAAGTCGTTAGAACACATTACACAATTATTGTACATAGAAATCACATTTTAAAATAAAGTATGTTTCCTGAAGATTTTTCTGTGATTCAACAAAGCCTTTACTAAGTCAGTTTGTGTGAAAGGTGATTTTCAAGCTAATAATAAAAATTCTTACTTTCATCTTACAGGTTTCATATTTTATTTGCATAATCACTACAACCTCCTAAATGAATATAAGGTTTTTTTTCCAGAAAACTTTGTTTTATTTTCTCTCTAATTTTTTTCTGTATCTCAACACTAACTTTAGCAAAATCATCAATGTACACCTTGTACAATAAAATGAAAAGTTGAAAAAAAATGAATGGTACTTTTCGTTATTCTTTTTTGAATGCATAATTTGTTTAGATGATTTCAAATTACTTATCTTCAAAATTTCATCTATCAACTTTTTTAATTTTATGTTTTATTGCCTGTATTGTTTGTCCTCTGTCCAACTCATTAAATCATAGCAGGAGCTCCTTAACCATTTCCTGTATACCTTATGAAAACACCATGTGATCTTTTCACCCATGGCATAACTGCAGTAAGCTTCAGTGAATCTTACACATTTGGGTCTTCAAACAATAATTAATGTTGCTTTCACAGATGCATTTTAGAATCCAAAACATGTATCAGTTACTAGAACAGAATGTCCCAAAACTACTGTAATTTACCTGGCTTTCTAAGTAAAAATTAAGTAGCCATTCAAACAAATAAAAGCATGATCACAAGACAAGCAAATAATCTCTCTGCCAAATTCAAAAGGACCTGCTCTTTCTATTGGTTATAAACAGATCCATCAGCCACATAAACTTGAACAGCAAACAATTTCTAAAGTCCGAAAGAGATGGGAGGGGCTTTTCTGGTGGATTTGACTAATTTATCAATACTTTAGCAAATAAAATAAATAGGAGGTTCAAATTTGGATTCTTCTTTGTAATTAAGTAAAGTTTGTGTTCTAACTAGCTGGAAATTGCTGAAGCCTATTTTGGAATTGAAAAAATTCTGAAGTGAAAAATTTGAGCTGAGGGTCAAAGTGTGCATGCTACTACCATTTACAAAGATACAACATTAGATTTTATTATCAATGTATGTCAATAAGCTTGACAAAAAACAGTTTATAATTCAAGTTACAATATTATCTAAGTTTTAATATCTTAATTTCAAATGGAAATATTAAATTTCTTTTTCAATCTTCATTTTTCTGTGTCACGTGACATGTCTACCTATGTTAGGTTTTCTTTCTACCCTTGCATGACTTTCCAAGTGTCTTACCCATTAGAAACACATACTCTTCACATCAAAATACCAGAATATCCATTCAGGACTTTCAATCAATCTTTTTGCTTTACTGAATCATAAAAAAAAATCAAATACACACGATACAACATAATTCTCTGTGCTATCGGATTGTTTATAACCAATAAAAAAGCAGTTCTTTACAATATTTCTTATACAGTTATTTCGTTTTGCAGCCCGTAAGTATTCATTTAGCCTAAATTTCATTGTCTGTGATCACGTTTTGTGCTCTGAGCAGCTGATGGAATTTTTTAACCCACTTATAGTTTAGTTAGAAATCAACTTAAATTAAAGTAGTTTTGAAACATTGTATTCTGGTGCCTGATATATATTTTGTGGATGGCATCAGTGCTTTGCAGTAACTCACTTTCTATGAAACTATCCACAGAAATGTTTAGCATAATTTTAAATTTAATATGTATATCTTAAGAACATTTTGTAGTTTATAGTAAGCATTACAAATATGTTGTACAAAAGAAACAAAATTAATAAAGTACTTTGCTAAAGATCTAGCTGTGAATTTACTGAGTCAAGGTGATTTTCATATTCCATTTACATAACCTCTAGAACCTCCTAAATGAACATCAAGTCTTTTCAGTAAATCTATATATTTAATCTATTATTTTCTCAACTCTAACAATAACTTTAAGGAAAACAGCAATGAATAACAAACTAAAAGTTGAAAAAATATGAAATAAATCTAAATTACTTTGTTTTCTTTCCAGAATGAATGCATATTGTAACAGACAAGTATACATGATTTATTCTCGCAAGCAAAGCTAATAGTCAACTGAAATCTGGGTTCATTAATTTTTTTGCTTTATAGTTGCACTTGGACCCTCTCAGAGATGCCATAAGCCACTTGTCACAATCAAGTTATAAACACAACACAAATGAATTACAAACACGCCTCTTGCGCAAAGTGTGCTACAGTAGCGAACATAATGAGAAATATTTTTATCTGACTTTTGTCTTATTTAAATTTTCTTTCCTAACCTGCAAGTTTCTAGTTCTTAATTATAACTATTTCATCTGCTTGAATGTTGACATTAATGATCACACATATACAATTTGAGGTGAACTGCCTAGACGTAGATACCAAAAAAATATAATCTTTAGAAGATTCTTGTAGGGTATAAAATTCTCTTTCTGTTGGTCATAAACATGTCTATAAAAGAAGGGCACATGGTATAGATAATTTTTTTAAATCTATGACAAGAGTTGAAGCCTATTTCAGCAATTTGTATTCCAGAGTAACTTCCTAAGCATAATATTGGTCCTCCACAAGATCATTAACCCTATGTGCACAGTGAAAATTTATTTGTATCACACTAATTTGAAAAGATGTGATTTTATATTATTACCTGTCAATATGTAAAGTCTGAGTTTCTGACTGGTTGGCCTTTTAAGTATTTCCTTAAGGAATATGTCAAAATTGGAACTTATTAGATTAGGTAAAAAAAGTAAATAAAAAACAAAATAAAATTTCATGAGACCAGCCCAAACTGTGTCTTTGATTGTAACTTTATCAACTGTTTACAAATTAACGTAGAAAATGTTCATACATTTTGTTTCTAATTCCTTTTTATGCTCGAGAAATATTTTTTCATTGTCAGTATTTATAAAAAGTAAAATCTTAAAATCCTATGGAATTGAGACTACACATTTTAAGATAAGTATGGTATGACTTTTCACATTATCATTATTTTAACAGTTTTATAAGCAATGTATTCTTGCAAATAAGACAGTAAATTTCAACCCAACGTTGTCAGCTCTTTGGTCTAAGCATTTTAAGCAGAGGATTTTAATTAGGAGTGTTTTGGAGATTTCATGTTTTACACAAGAAATGGTTCCTTCAATTTTCAATTTCTCAAATTGGAAAACTTGTAATATGTTTCCTCTTTATGGACAAAGAATCCATTATAATGAAGAAAAACATTGTGGATTTGTGGACTATGGAACTAACCTCAGAGGTGATTATTCATTACCTGATGCCTAACAGGTATTTGTATTCATGTTACTGTCTATAAATGGACACTAGAAATTACATGCATTATATTTTCTTATTAATGGATTAACTGGTGTAGAAAAGATCAAACTTTGTACAAGAGTCAGATTTGAAGGTGGTTTTCACTGACAGTTAATGGTCCATCAGGAAACTATACAATGACTTGGCTTTTGGAGATAATCTCTTATGGCAAAACAATGAAGACCTTTTTTAACCCCAGGCACACTCTTTAAATTCCTTTCTGCACATATCAAAAAGATTCAAAATTTAATTAAACTACTTTATTATCAATGTATTTTAATGAAATTATTATAATCACATACAAGACAGTTCAAAGTTTAATATTATTTTAGGTTTTGTCCCTTTATTTCAAAAGCAATAGTGAAAACTTCTAATTTTGTTGTTACATGATGCACGAACTATAAATAATTTCAAACTTTCACGAAGTATAAGTAGAGTAACACAACTATAGTCCTGTACACTCATATCCAGACAGTAATGTTAATCTGACCTACTGACATGTGTTTCAAAGTTCTTTAGCCGAATGCAGTAGAAACAAGCGATAAATTTTGTCAACACCTGATGGATGCCATACCCACCTCCTATACTTAGCCTTGAGCTTTGTGTAGTAAATATTTCATTGCACTGTACATTGATGATAATAGCTAGAGTTAATGATATAGTAGAGAAAAAGGAAAATAAAATAGAAATATTTACCTTAAAAAACTTTTGATATTCATTTAGGAGGTTTTAGAGATCATGCAAATGAAACGTGAAAACTGTCGAAGTGCAAATAACTACATTAAATACCAAATTTTTATTAGAAATAGTAGCAAAAATAGAAATTAAATGTTTTATTTTTCTGAAACTACATACTTTTAGGAATGTTCTTGTCAAATTTCAAACAATTTCACCAACTAGTTGTTTTTTAGAATGAAATATAAATATAGTGACAATGTTGAAACCTACAACAAAACTAACCATTTTTAACTGTTAATTACGAAAAGACATTGATATATTTTGAATTTTGTAAGATATGAATTCATATAAATTTCATATCTAAAAATATATTTTATTTGAAAAAGCTACATAATCTGTAAGATGTTCAAGTTTCATCCAAGTTTATTTGGGAATGCAATAAAACAAACCATACCAGGTGTGTTGACTGAACACACCAGGACACTTGAGTTAAACAAGACAGTAGAATATAACAACAATTGGAGGAGGGGATGTAACAAAGAACAAAGAAGTATTTCTATATACATGTGTGCGGAACATTCTTACATTGGAAGTAATATGGAATTTGTTTAGTAGACTGGTACATAGTAAGATACAATAATAATTCATAATACAGTTTTCAAATAGAAATTTGGAGGTAGCTCTTGGAATATCTTCAATAAAGCACTACTCTAATGCATGACTAATCTGAACAATAACCGTAGTTTAAGCTTCCAACAAAAATGTAGTATATATATATTTTAGAAGCATGCAAGTCCTTAACCCTTTTGGCCCGGCTACACTTTACTGCACGATACAAAGTTTTAGTGTCTTACATTCAAAATTTTATTAAACTACTTTTTATTTAAGGTATACCAATTAGAATAGCATAAAATCTTAGCTAAGAATCCATATTTTAATAGATACAAGTTTTAAGCTCTTAATTCTACAAAGAAATATATAAAAAAATCCTGAAATTCCACTAGTGCAACACACGTGAAACATTTTTGTCTTAGCATGTCATCATCCCTATTTTGTCCATCACCCCTCGAAAATGTACGAAATTAAACGTAAAATACACTCTATAAAACCGTTATTGCTGAAACAGACCATAATTTTTATAGCCTTCAATTTTGTTTGGTTACAGAGCTATCGAATAGAAAATCGGACCCCTCCTGCCACATCCTCTCTTTCACAATTCGTTGATAGTTCTCTTGTACATTTCATTACATATTACCTATAACCAATAGAAAATCAAGATTTTAATCTATCACATGAAGTATTGTATAAGATCGTATTCTGAATAGAATATTGTTATTTTCACTCACAGTACAAGATTCATTCCCATGGGAAAGTTAACAACTAGCTTCGAAGAATTTGTAATGGCTCTTGTCGCATTGTTAGAAAGCCAGGAAAATTTTGAGAGGTAAGTG